CTCGCGTGCTTCTCTTACTTTATGTACTGTGATGAACAAAACAGAAAAATTCGGATTCATGATACTTGTAATTTATCTAATCTTTGCCTCAGAAAAATTATTTATATTTTTCCCAAAATGACTAAGAAATACGACTTCATTTTTTACAAGTTTTGAATTAAAATATGTTTAGTTATGAGAAACAGCTCAAAACTGCTCAGAAACTTGGAATTAGAAAAGCGCTAGTTCTCGCATTGGGCGCTGCACTTCCGCTTTCTCTCTTGTTCTTCGCAACGGCAGTTTGTTTCTGGTAGGTTTTACAGGTTTGAGTAAAATTCTATTAAATAGAGAGTTTGTTAGATACATTCGGAAATTCGAGGTTTGGAACTAAACTGGTCCTTGAGGGCAGAATGACGCCGGGATCAATTTTCGGTGTTTTCTGGGCAGTACAAGTTGGCACTCGAAGATTGGGTGAGAGTCACTCTCAGCTGGGAGCGATTATCAGTGCGAAACTAGCTATTGCTGATATTTTTGCTATTATTGACAGAGTAAGAAACATTTTGAACTACAAATTTCATTAAAATATGTATGTAAAGTAAAAATTCTAGACGCCAGAAATAGATTGTACACAAGAGGGTGGCTTCAGCAAAGAAAAAGTTCAAGGAGTAATAAGCTTTAATAACGTCCACTTTTCATATCCCTCACGACCTTCAGTGGAAGTACTCAAAGATGTCAGCTTTGAAGTAAGAAGCTTGTTATAGCTGATATTCCTTGGATAAATGAGGCATGCTTGTGTAAGAAATTTTCAGATAAAACGTGGAGAAAGCATCGCATTAGTTGGACACTCCGGATGCGGAAAATCTACTATTGTTTCACTGCTACTGCGGTACTACGAGCAGAATTCTGGAATGGTAAATAGGTACACTGAGTACAAAATCATTTAAATTAGAGAAAAGGAAAAGAACTGTGAAAGTTCACTTATTAGGCAGGTCAATCAGAAGCGATTCCAACGTATTTTCAGTCGTTTGATATTTTGCCCTGCCAAACGTCATAGCCCGCTCCAGTCTATTTCTTGAAGGCTTGAATAATTAACAAACATAAAATGAATTCGTCCTACGTTAGGTATGCTGCTCTCGTATCT